ACGCCACTATGATCATCATCGCGTCTACCGTTGTCGACGTTCCCATGGCACCGCGCCCGCCCGGGTCGACGACTCGCACTGAAGTGCCCGCCGGGATGTGCCGAGCGGTCAGCGCCACCGCTTTCGCGTCGGCCGTTCCAAACTAGCTGGCCGCTGCGCGAGCAAGCATGCGCGGGCTAGCGCGGCCGCAGAGATGCACCCGCCAACGCCCAGCACTCATCACAATCGCTCCCGCATGGGCTTTTGCAAACCAACTTGCGGGCGGGCGGGCGGCATGATGCGCGAGCAGTGGAGTTGGCAACGTCAAGTTCGGCAAGTGCGCTCTCCTCTCTGAGAGAGAAATAGGTTCCACCACCCACCCACTCACCTCGGACTTATCGATCCACCAAGAACCGATGAGAAGAAAAAGAAAAAGAACAAACACAAAAAAAAAAAAACACTACTATGGTTCTGAACCAAATGTCCGCCCTACCTGCGCATTCAAACTATCCCGGCCAAACTGGCATCGGCCCCCCTCGGCCCCCTCGCACATAAAAGCACGCACACTCGTTTATCCAATAGCAAGAAGTGCTCAACAATCCCTGGCCAAAAACGAAGCGAAACGCACGCGCGCGCGTCGTCGCGCGCGCATGCCGAAGTCCTTTTTCCGAACCATCGACCTCAAAAGCGAGCGCCAAACAAACATTATTAGAACATTGTTTCGCAGCGCGGTTGATCAACACATGTTCGTGATGTGCGACCAAACGGGCTTCGCGCGCGCATGTCGACATCGATCTGAAGTGGCGCGGTCCAAACGGGCTTCGCGCTTGCGCGCGTGCTGAAGTGGCCCGGTCCATGTCAAATGATACCATGCGAGACACTCTCGTGCGTCTGCCGCTCGCGCATTTCAAATTCCGCCCAACAACTTCATCGCCGAAGCGAGTCGGGGCCCTTCTGACCCGGGTCAATCCAGACCCGGGTCAGCAGGAAACCAAAAACTGCAATGCAGGAAAAAACTGCAACGCAGATCCTCGCAAACCCGGGTCTGCCAATACGCGCGGCCGCCTCGCGGCCACGAGCGGCTCCCTGACCCGGGTCAGCCAGAGGAGGCCTTTGCAGGATCCTGCAGGATCTGGCGCCCTGGCTGACCCCCGTTTGCATTGACCCCCGTCTCAAGGCTCCCGAGCGAGGACGCCGTCATCGTCGCCGGCGTGATCAGCATCGGAGCCGTCACTGGCTGCCCCGTCGTCGCTGTCAGCATCGTCGCCAACACCACTACGATCATCATCGCGTCTACCGTTGTCGGCGTTGCCATGATACCGCGCCCACCCAAGTCGCCGACTCGCACTGCAATGCCCGCTGGGATGTGCCGAGCGGTCAGCGCTACCGCTTTCGCGTCGGTCGCGCCAAACAGGTGGCCGCTGCGCGCGCGAGCATGCAAGGGCGAGCGCGACCGCGGAGATGCACCAGCCAACACCAAGCACTCATCGCAATCGCTTCCACATGGGTTTTGCAAACCAAGTTGCGGGTGGGTGGGCGGGGCGATTGCGCGAGCAGTGGGGCGGGGCTGACAACTTCAAGTTCGGTAAGTGAATGACACCCCTTTAAATTGCCCCACTTAGGTGACACAACCTAGAAGTCACAACAAATAATGCACAACGTAGATTGCACGCATATCGTGGGTTGTTCCGCACATGGCTACACATATATTGCACAGCAAATATGGTGCACAACAAAGGTTGCACACAATAGAACGCACAACTTAGATTGCATAAACACATGCGGATTTAATGGGTTGTACAACATACACAACTAGAAAAACACGGTTCGAGGCCAACGCTGGGTCGCATGCTACTGTGTGATTGCTAGTTTTGCGCGAATGATACGACGAAAACTGGTCCTACTACAACTAGTACGACTGCCACGAATACTACGACTACTACTACTACGACTGCTTCTACGACTAGTACGACTACTACTACTACTAATACTACTACTACTACTACTACTACTACTGCTACTACTACTACTACTACGACGACTACTACTACTACTACTACTACTACTGCTACTACTACTACTAGTACTACTACTACTACTACTACTACCACTACTACTACTACTAGTACTACTACTACTACTACTACTACTACTACTACTACTACGACGACTACTGCGACTACTACTGCGACTACAACTAGTCCGACCACAAATGCTACTAATGCTATTACTACTGGTATTACAACTACGACGGCGAATACTAACATTGCGAGCACAACGACGACGGCGGCTACTACTTATACCACGCTTGCTGCTAGTGCGCCCACTGAAACTACGACTGCTACTACTACTACTGCTACTACTACTACCACTACTACTACTACGACTACTACTACTACTACTACTACTACTACTACTGCAACTACGACGACTACTAGAACTACCACTACTGCGTCTGGGCTTCGGCAACTACAGCTACGGCAGCTACTACCAGAATATGGAATTGCCCCTCAGCAGAACAAAGCAAAACAAGCACAGCACAAACAACAACATAAAAAGCTGGCACCACACACCTAGCAAACATGGCGGCGACTCCACTACTACGACTACTACACAAGTGCGACTAGTCATATTACGACTGCCACTACCAATGCTACTACAACCTACTGATGCTACTACTACTGCTACTACGACTACGACTACGACTACGACTACGAGTACTAAGACTGCAACTATTACTACGACTTCTCACTCCACAACTACGACTACAACTTCTACGAAAACTACTACTACTACTACTACTACTACTAATACAACTACTACTACTACTACTACTACTACTACTACTACTACTACTACTACTTCTACGGCGACGACCATTACCGCTACGACTATTACCAACACTACTACTTGTACGACTACTGCTACCACGACTACGAGTGCAGAGATTACTGCGTACGACGATGGCCTTCAGAACTACGCTTACCACGACCAATAATACGATTTTGAATTCGCAGAATGAAAATTATGTTTGTATTAGTCCCTCGCCTACTACAGATTCCAATCCTAGTCTTGCGCCAACGACTACGACTACAACTACGACTACGAAAACTGCTACTACGAATGCTACTACTACTACTACGATGGATACTACTACTACTACTGCTACTACTACTACGACGACTACTACTATACTACTACTACTACTACTACTACTACTACTACTACTACTACTACTACTACTACTATACACTACTACTACTACTACTACTACTACTACTACTACTACTACTACTACTACTACTACTACTACTACACTACTACTACTACTACTACTACTACTACTACTGACTACGACTACTACTACTTCGATTACTACGACGACGCCTACTAAATACTACGACTACAGTTACCCATTCGGCTGTCCTTGCTTCTGTCTCTACTACGAATACCCAAACTACTACGAACACTGCTACTACTGCGGTTCCGGCTACGACTACGGCTACGGCTGCGACTACTACTACTACTACTACTACTACTACTACTACTACTACTACTACTACTACTACTACTTTTACTACTACTACTACTACTACTACTACTACTACTACTACTACTACTACTACTACTACTACTTTTACTACTACTACTACAGCTACTCTCCCTACTACTAATACGACTACTACTTCTACTTTTTCTACTACTACTACTACTACTACTACTACTACTACTACTACTGCTGCTGCTGCTGCTGCAACTACTACTACAAATTCTGCGACCACGATTACTAACAGAAGTTAAAGTACGAGGTCTACTACTACTACTACTACTACTACTACTACTACTACTACTATGAATACTACGAATACTACGAATACTACGAATACTACGAATACTACGAATACTACGTTTACGACTACTGCAACAGCAACTACGACTACTACTTCTATTACTACTACTAGTACTAGTACCAGTAGTAGTAGTACTACTACTACTACTACTACCAACGCTACTAGTACTACGCCTACCACGACCGATCATACGATTTCGAATACGCACAATGGACATTTTGACTGGACTAGTCCTCCGTTTACTAATACTCCCAACCCTACTCCGACCCCTACGACTACGACTTCGACTACGAATACTACTACTGCTAATACTTCTGCTACTACTACTACTAATACTACTACTACTACTACTACTACTACTACTACTACTACTACTACTACTACTACTAATACTAATACTACTACTACTACTACTACTACTACTACTACTACTACTACTACTACTACTACTACTACTACTACTACTACTACTACTACTACTACTACTACTACTACTACTACTACTACTACTACTACTACTACTACTACTACTACTACTACTACTACTACTACTACTACTTACTACCGCTAACACTGCCACCGGCACTTCAATAACCAATAGCACTTCCACTACACTACGATTACGATCACCTCTACGACTGCCACCAAGACGCCACTGCAACCACTACCACTACCACTACCAGAACCACAAATACTTCCACTGCACTACCAATACGACCAACCACCACTGCCACTGCCACCAAGACACCACTGCAACCACTACCACTACCACAATCACCCCCAATACAACTACCACTACCACTACCACAACTGTTGCTGTTGCCGTTGCTGCTGATGATGGAAAATGGCAAGACGCTTCGATCATTGACTCAGGAGGGCGCTTGACGTCCCTCAGCACCTGGTGCTACAACAAAAACGAAAGCCTTCAAAGACCGAGGGACGACCGAGGTCCTGATGGGCCTGTTTTCCACCACCACCACCGTGAGTTGGAGGGGGAGAGGAGGTGGAGGACGAGGAGGAGGACGAGGGGAGGGAGGAGGTCGAGGAGGAGGACCCTCTCCCCCTCCAACTGATGATGGTGGTGGCCCATCAGGTCCTTCCTCTGCGCCTCCGGCCGCGCCTGCCCCCGCCCCGCCCTCCCGCGGATCGAACGTGCCCTCCCGCCGCGGCCTCCCGCAGGATGCGGGCGTACTCCAGGTAGCCCTGCTCCAGGAGCTCCAGCATCCTTGGCGTGCAAGACAAAATCGGTTTGCGCGTGATTTCAGGGGAGCAGACAATGACGGGGCCCTGGGACACACAAACAAATGCACACAAACCACAGGATTCCCCACATTCCCAACCAACCTGTGTTGTTGGGTCCTCGTTTTGAAGAGACGGTCCCCGCGTTCCTCCTTCCTTCCTCCTCCCCCCTCCTCCCCCTCCCACACCCATTCTGGCACACCCCTCACACGTTTCGTGGCCCCATAGGGAGCTCCACCGAAGGCCCCAGTGGCTGCGCCCGCATGCGGTTCCACCCCCCATTCTGGCACACCCCTCACACGTTTCGTGGCCCCATAGGGAGCTCCACCGAAGGCCCCAGTGGCTGCGCCCGCATGCGGTTCCACCCCCCATTCTGGCACACCCCTCACACGTTTCGTGGCCCCATAGGGAGCTCCACCGAAGGCCCCAGTGGCTGCGCCCGCATGCGGTTCCACCCCCCATTCTGGCACACCCCTCACACGTTTCGTGGCCCCATAGGGAGCTCCACCGAAGGCCCCAGTGGCTGCGCCCGCATGCGGTTCCACCCCCCATTCTGGCACACCCCTCACACGTTTCGTGGCCCCATAGGGAGCTCCACCGAAGGCCCCAGTGGCTGCGCCCGCATGCGGTTCCACCCCCCATTCTGGCACACCCCTCACACGTTTCGTGGCCCCATAGGGAGCTCCACCGAAGGCCCCAGTGGCTGCGCCCGCATGCGGTTCCACCCCCCATTCTGGCACACCCCTCACACGTTTCGTGGCCCCATAGGGAGCTCCACCGAAGGCCCCAGTGGCTGCGCCCGCATGCGGTTCCACCCCCCATTCTGGCACACCCCTCACACGTTTCGTGGCCCCATAGGGAGCTCCACCGAAGGCCCCAGTGGCTGCGCCCGCATGCGGTTCCACCCCCCATTCTGGCACACCCCTCACACGTTTCGTGGCCCCATAGGGAGCTCCACCGAAGGCCCCAGTGGCTGCGCCCGCATGCGGTTCCACCCCCCATTCTGGCACACCCCTCACACGTTTCGTGGCCCCATAGGGAGCTCCACCGAAGGCCCCAGTGGCTGCGCCCGCATGCGGTTCCACCCCCCATTCTGGCACACCCCTCACACGTTTCGTGGCCCCATAGGGAGCTCCACCGAAGGCCCCAGTGGCTGCGCCCGCATGCGGTTCCACCCCCCATTCTGGCACACCCCTCACACGTTTCGTGGCCCCATAGGGAGCTCCACCGAAGGCCCCTGTGGCTGCGCCCGCATGCGGTTCCACCCCCCATTCTGGCACACCCCTCACACGTTTCGTGGCTCCATAGGGAGCTCCACCGAGCGCCCCAGTGGCTGCGCCCGCATGCGGTTCCACCCCCCTATTTCGGCACACCCCTCACTCGTTTCGTGGCCCGGGGGCGCCACCGAAGAATATATCCACAATTGCGGTATTCACAACTACGTATGGTTGGGTCTTTCGTCAGGTTAATTGTTCCATATTTTCTGGGTTTTCGTCTTCCCCCCAACTTCCCATATTTTCCCATATGTTCTAGGGAATCGACGATTAATTGTGTCTGTGTGCTTTTTCCCTCCTGAAGCGAAAACATAAACATGAAAACTCGGAGGCCCGCGCGAATTTCTCGGATCGGCGCTGGACCCCGCCCCCCTGGCGGCGCCGGAGCGCGCCAGGGGGCGGCGCCAGAGTCGCCGCCACGGGAATCTGCCAGCGCCGATCCGAGAAACCCGCGCGGACCTCCGAGGTTTTCTGTCTACAGTCCACCCGTACAGTGAGGATGCACGGTAAGGATGCAAGGGCCTCGGAGGGCCACGTCAGCGTTTTTCGAGCGAGATTGGCCAGCGAAAGCGGCCGAGGATGGACCGAAGAGGCAAGGATGCAAGGAAAGGGGTCCAGCGCCGATCCGAGGAACCAGCGCGGACCTCCGAGCTTTTATGTCTACAGTCAACCCGTACTGTAAGGATGCGCGGTAAGGATGCAAGGGCCTCGGGGGGCCACGTGAACGTTTTTCGAGCGAGATGGGCCAGCGAGAGCGGCCGAGGATGGACCGAAGAGGCAAGGATGCCAGGAAGGGGATCCAGAGCCGATCCGAGGAACCCGCGCGGGCCTCCGAGCTTGTATGTTTATAGGGCAGTTTTTAATACATAGGATGTTTGAACATACCTGATGTTTAATACATGACTAATGTATGGATAAATTTATGCGTGAACCCATCGTTGTTTTTAATACTACAGCCCTGCATTTTGAATATGATCCGCACGCGGAGCATGTAGTAAAACAGCACTATATGTCGTTGTTTGTCCCCCTGCGCATCATGGGACGCACGGAGACATTCCAACACTATGTGTCCGCCTTGGAGGCGCACGTCCGACCCGAACATATCGTATACCCATCTTGTAGTATATCGTTTCTCGAGCGGTGTGGCCAGAAAGCGCCCGCCACGACGCATATACTAGAAGAGTTCTCGGTGCGCGCGTCGCCCCTGGAGGGGCGACGAACACATAGTATAAGTATGTTGGGGGGACGCCGACATCAGTCAGAAAGTAGATACGAACATGAAATAGGAAGGCGGTGGAAAGAGATTGGGCTTCCGCGCGCGCCCTGCAGAGGACGGAAAAGGTGAATCCACTCGATCGCTGAGGCAGGAAGGCGCTCATTACGTTGACTGGAATCTGGGAATCCAGAAATACCGACTCTCAACGACCGATGGGTGCAGTGTGGCCCAAAGCAGGGTGTGACCCATGGTTGAGGTGCAGAGATACGGGGGCGGCTGGCACATGGCGGGATGCATCGACCTGGAATGGGCGGTACATCGCCGATAGATCGGCGATCGTCCCCCGATAGTGTCTCCGCACCTCCCTGCGCAGGTCGGGGCTCTCGGGCCCCTATTGGCGATCCATGGGCGCTTGGGAGTGGATGCGTCCCCCCCCCCTGATAGCCTACAGTCAACCCGTACAGTGAGGATGCGCGGTAAGGATGCAAGGGCCTTGGACGCCCATGCCGAGGCTCTTCGAGCGGGGCTGGCCTTCGAAAGTGGTTGAGGATGGGCCGAAGATGACCGAAGAGGCAAGGATGCAAAGGTACCCTTGGGAAGTCGCTCATCCTTACTGTGCGGGTTGACTGTATTCCCATCCCCCCTTCTCGCTGCCCCTGAAAAGGGAGTCACCCTTGATGCGCGACCTTTGGGGGCCTTTGGGGCCGCCGGGAGGCCCGACCAGGGCACGCGGAGGATGCTGCTACCACGGAAGGGGCCCAAGGACACACGAATGAATACACATCAATAACAGGAGCCCCCAGATTTTCCCACATGTTCTGGTTTTTTGTCTTCCCCCCCACTTCCCATACTTTCCCTATCTTCCTGGGAGCCGACGGTTACTTGTGTCTGTGCGTTTCCCCTCCCGAGAACCACACGGCGCGCGCCCCGCCGCGCGGGGACAAGAGCCCGCGTGCACGCCCCCGAAGCAGCTGTCCTCTCTACAAAGGGCAGGCGGCCCCCCAAAGGGGGCCGGCGGTCCCCTGTAAAGAGCCTGGAGGGGCGGTCACCTCTGTTGAGCAGGGACCGACCGTCCCGGCATTTCTATAGCCCTACCACGAGATGTTCTGAGAACCCAGACATGCTCTAAGAACATAAAAACAGTGTTCTTAGAGCACAAGCCCGATGTGTTAAAACAAGACAGACTGCGCCAGAAATGTTTAAAGAACATTGTTTGGTGGGCCCATAGGCGAGTCAGGACGCCTCGCCACTGCTCGACTCGAAGGCGCAGCACGTTCCTGGTCCCTCGGGGGTCCCGGGGACAGGGACGAGGACAGTCAGGAGGGGAAACAAAAACTCTCAGACAGAAATGAACCGTCGGCTCCCAGGAAAAGATGGGAGAATCTGGGAAGTGGGGGGGGGGAAACCAAAAACCCAAGAAGTATGGGAAAATATGGGGAATCCTGTGATTTGTGTGTGTGTGTCCTTGGGGTAACTGTTTGTGTGTCCTCGGGCCCCTTCGGACAGGCCAGCCTGCGCGCCCGCTCCTGGAGGAGCGGTCCCCCTGCAAAGCGCGGGCCCCGGCAGTCTCCACACCAACACCACCACCTCCTGCCCAAAGGGGGGAGGGGGGAGGAGGAGGGGGAGGAGGGGGAGGAGGAGGAGGAGGAGGAGGATGAGGAGGAGGAGGAGGAGGTTAAGGAGGGGGAGGAGGGGAGGAGGAGGAGGAGGAGGAGGAGGAGGAGGAGGAGGAGGAGTCTGGGTCCTCTGGGCGGCAGGGCGGCCCCCCTCCCCCCTTCTGCTTGCCTCCTCGAGCGCGTGCCTCTCTTTTTCGGCGATCATGGGCTGAAAAAGTAATAATTCTTCCATTTTTAGAAACATTGAACGTTCAAATTACGCATAATAGCAATCACATTATTATATGTTCAACAAACATGCGTCGGACTCGATTGGAGAGGACACGCGAGAGGACACAGGAAGAGCCTTCCGAGGGCCACGTTGCCGCAGAAATGCAGGAGGCACGGGTCGCAAGACACAGGACACGAAGGTATACCCTTGATCTGGCAGGGTCGACCTGCTAATCTGGGCCGCCTGTAAGGCGGGGGAAGGGGGCCGGGGGGGATATATAATGTAACGCCTCCCCCCCGCCGTTCGCCAGATGCGCACGGCGGCAGTGCCCGGAGCGCACTGGGGGGGGGAGGAGCGTTACGTTGAACGTTGTAGGGGGGAGGAGGGGGGGTGTAGAGGGGACTGGGGGCTTTAGTGCCGATTATGCCCCAGGCACTAAAGAAACACGCTCCTCCCCGCTTTTCTCCTGGGAGAGGGACGGGGTGAGGGAGGTGGTGGTGGTGTATACCCCGTGGGCCCCCGCAGAGGGCCAGCGGCTCAGATGTCCCCGCTGCAGCGAGCACATGTTCAGGTCCCCCTTCCTGCTTCTGCTTGCACGTGATTCGGGCCGGGCGAAAGGGGGGGATAGCAAAGGGGGAGGGGAGAATCAGCTCACGTAGCTGATTTTCCCAGCGCCTCCCGGCGCCGGGAGGCGCCCATGTATCGAGGAATGGGCCCAGCGGCGGGGCCGAAACCAGCTGCATGCAGCAGATTTCGCAACCACCCCTTTCCCGATCCCCCCCCTTTCGCTCCGGCCGAGTGATGCCCCAGTGGGCCCGCGCCAGAGGTCGCTCCAGCGACAAACCACGCTCACGTGCCGCTGGAGAGGGGCCTGGCGGAGACGGGCCCTGGGCCCGGGCGGACCCTGGACCCCGGGGCCCTCCCGCCAGGGCCCGCTGCTCCTCCCGACCCGCCACTCTCCGACGGCCCCGGAGCTCGTGGAGCGCGCCGGGGAGGCCTCGGAGGCAGGCACGGAGCTCGGGGCACCGTGTCGTCGGGCCCCTAGGCGGTGTGGGGGGGGGGGGGCACGAGGGGCATCGACAGCGCCAGTCCGCGGACCTCTCCCAGGGTGTGTTCTGACCAGAGAGTCGGAGTGAATCCAGCCGTGGCGACGAGTGACCTCTTGGACGAAGGCCGGTATCGGTGTATGTTCGCTTCTCTGCCCTGAGATCCGACGTTGCGAACCATCGATGCAAGGCGAAAAGTCAAGACCCAAACCGTAGACCCCAGCAGCCTGCCGTACTTGGAGTCGAGACAGCTCGCGCTGAAATGGCCCCAGGGACCACCTCTGGGCGAACAGCGCCTGGGCGATGACGCCTGGCAACGCCCAGATCTCAGGGTCAGAACCCGTTTGCTTCATTGCGTCCTCAGCTCGCTGCCGTCCGGGCCCATGGCCTGCAAGGGGCAGCGTTGCAGGGGGACCAGCTCCGGGGGGGAAACCTCGAGCTTGGGCCAGCGACACGCTCGCCATCGCTCGGACGTCCATGTCCCGTGCATTTGTCGGTTTCGTGCGTGTTTTTTGTTGCTCGATGGTCCAGGATGGTCCTCAAGGGTCCTCGCCGAAAAGAAAAAATACACACGTCCGAGCGATGCCAGGCACACCGCCGACAGAGAGCAGCGGCAGGCCCCCGATGGCCAAACTGGACGCTCCCTCGGGAAGGGGCTCTCGGGGCCCTACCACTATGATGCTCCAACCTACTTTAGCCTTGACCACCAGGAAGAATTTCGAGCGCCCAAAAAGGTTTTCACGTGCCGGGCCCTGGGAGACACTGTTTCGACACGGTTTCGACACTCTTTAGACACTTTTCTGGGTGCTCGATATTATTTCTGGGATGCAGTCCTTAAGTTGGACAGGAACAACATAACCCTACCAGCGATCAATGGGCGATTCAGGGTCGGATTGATGCATCCACCCTGAGCCTATCTCCGTCCCCAGTGGCTTCCCAGCACTAACTCAAGCCTGTGGCGGCCGCTCGGGACGATCCTGGCACCCCTGGAACGCTCTCGACGATGCGAAGCTGCTGAAATGCACCCCGAGGCCGGCAGGCAGCCGAGAACCGACGAACTCGCCCGAAACTCTCGAACCCGAAAACTCCCTCCCCTGAACCTTAGGAGGCAACTACTGGGAGGTTTCCTTCGGAAGGATTAAAGAGGATTAAGCCCCGTTGGGGGGCTGTTAAGCAAGAGTGGGCCTCGGATTAAGCCGGATTAAGCGGGATTAAGCGGGATCACGCCGGATTAAGCAGGATAAAGCGGGATTCAGCGGGATTAAGCCGAATTTCGGACCAGGGCAAAATCATAATTTGACCTCGCAGGAGTTGCATCCGAATGAGCCTATCCCCCCCCCAAACGTTGCCACTGAGCCTCGACTCCAGGCCCCCCGTGGAGCGCCGAGCCCGCCAGCCTTGCTCCGGCCGCCCGCGAGCTGGATCCTCAAGCAGACAAGGAGGTGGGGAGCATCTCGTTCCGTCGGGTGCTGCACTCGGGACGGAGGCGAAATGAAGTTTGGACACCCCTCGGAATAACCTGTACACTCGGGAATCCCACGCCGATTCGGAGGAGGAGGAGGAGGAGGAGGAGGACGATGACGACGACTGACGACGACGACGACGACGACGACGACGGCGACGACGACGACGACGACGACGACGACGGCGACGGCGACAACGACGACGACGACGACGACGGCGGCGACGAGGACACGAGCACAGAGCCTCGACCCCGTAGCGCGCGCGGGTCGCCCCGTCGGCGAACGCCAGCTGCGGCCGCGCCCACGTGGCGAAGAGCAGCACCACCGCGCCCGGCGGCAGGTGCTGCCGCAGGGCGGGCCCGAGCGCCTCGTGCGGCCCGGGGAGGAGCGGCGAGGAGGACGGACGGGAGGGAGCTCGCCCCTCCTCCTCCTCCTCCTCCTCCTCCTCCTCCTCCTCCTCCTCCTCCTCCTTCTCCCTCTCCTCCTTCTCCCTCTCGTCCTCCTCCTCCTCCTTCTCCCCCTCCTCCTCGACGGGGGAGGCCGGCTCGAATCTCCGACGCATGAGAAACAGTTTCACAGTGCGCTTTTCTCGTCTTCGGCTCCATGGGGGGCCCTCTTTGGGCCCCACGGCCATCTACAAAAGCACTGAGCATGCGAAGCCAGCACTGGGGAACGGGCCGGGACGTCTGGGGGCCCCGCATGTCTGCTAGGGCTCCCAACTTCGCGCTTCGCGCTGCGCGAAGCGCGAAGCGCGAATAACTTCGCGCTCTCGCGCCGCCCTCCCAAAGGGAGAATAGGAGGACGAGGAGGAGGGGGAGGAGAAACGAGGACCGCGAAGCGCGAATAACTTCGCGCCCTCGAGGGAGCCCTTGTTTCTGGGCGTTTTCCTTGACCTTGGCCCCTGGGGGTCCGTCGTCGGGCCCCCTGGGCCGCCAAAATCGAATCCAGGACGTGCCGCGACTCCCCTGGGAAGAGGGCCGCGGGGGGTCGGGAGCTCCGGGGCTGCGGGCGGAAAGAATCCGCCAGAGAGAGCTCCCCCGCGGCCGTACGGCAGGTTCGTGCCGTGACAAGTTCGGCGTTGGTCTCTGACACCGCGTGGATCGTTCAGCTTTGAACGATCAGAGGCGTTTCGATCGCCAGACCCCTCCATAGAGGTCGATTTTGGGCCACTGGCGGCGCCGAGCCTTGAACGCCCGCGCAAGGGTTGCCGCCGCATCGACACGACTCGAACCTACCGATTATGTTACTCCTCTGATCAGCGACGAGCAAGGGGGGGAACATAAGGAAAAAGCCTTCTCAAAACGCGGTGGGGCTTCTTAGAAGGCATCCAGCCGTTTTCGGGGATCTGCTGCCCCGGATCAATCCAGACCCGGGTCAGTCAAGCCTTGCGGAATCCTGCAAAATCCTGCAAGATCCTGCATCCAAACCCGGGTCAATGCGAAAGATCCCGCAAGGTCCTGCAGGATCGAGAGCCTTTCTCTAATGTTCGACGATGGCGGGCGTCATGGGGGGGGGCGGGGGGGGGTATGACGTAACGCCCCCACCCCGCCGTGTGACTCCAGCACCACAGCCGCGCCCGCGCGCACGACGCGACGAGCGACGAGCGACGACAACGACGACGACGACGACGACGACGACGACGAGGACGACGCGAGCAACATGTAGGTGACGATCTGCCCCACTGCGCCTGTGAACACATCGCTCGCGTGCACCACAATGCGCGCAAACACCACAACACCTGCGCACACCGCAAGAACCGTGTGCAACGCAGCGCCTGTGTACACCACCTTGCTCGCATACGCTACAGCGCCAGTGTACTTGTGTACACCGCAGCAACCATGAGCAACAGAGCGCGTGTGCACACCACAATGCTTGAGTGCACCGCAGCGCCTGTGCACGCCACAACGTCTGTCTCCACCACAGCATCCGCGTGCAACGCAGCGTGACTGTACACCACAGTGCCTGCGTACAGGACTGTGCTGATAATCGAATGCGACGTTCTTCCCTCGTCCCTCCTCCTCCTCCACCTCCACCTCCACTTCCACATCCTTTTCCTCCTCCTCCTCCTCCTCTTCCTCCGCCTCCTCTTCCTCCTCCTCCTCTTCGTCTTCCTTCCCCCCTGTCGTGCGGGGTGGCGCTACAGCGCACGTGCGCAATTCAGCGTGCAGTGCACCGCATAATGGTCGATTGAATCGGTCCACATGGTTCTCGCACGGCCAATTGAGCTGGAGCCTCCTGGACGCAGATGGGATAAGTTAGGGTGATGCGGGCGGACTCGGGAGAATTCGTAGATTCCAGCGGCGCTCCTCTGTGCAGGAGGATTCCTTTGTATTGTTTCTGTGGAAGCCACAAGCGCTCCATTTTGTCATAAGGACTCCTTCTAACATTCTAGATGCAAGTGTGGCGCTGTGTTACACACGGTTGCTGTGGTGCACACAGGCGCCGTGGTGCACACAGGCACTGCAATGCACGCAGGCATTCTGGTGTACACTGGTGCTGTGTTGCGCACGGCTGATGTGGTGTACGCAGGCGCTGCGGTGTACACAACAGCTGTTGTGCCCGCGAGCACGGTGGCACAAACTGACGTTGTGTTGCACGCGGCTGCCGTGGTGTACGTAGGCGGTGTGGTGTACACAGGCGCTGTGGTGCACGCAGGCACTGCGGTGTACACAAGCGTTGTGGTGCAGATCACCACCTACATGCTGGTGCTACCCGTCATCGGTCATTCCGAGGCATTCCGGACGCCGCCGGCGCGAAACATGATGTCATCGACCACCTCCGCACCCCTCAGATGATTGCCGTGATCGGCCCGGAACAAATAATAGGATCCAGCCGAATCCGCGCGCACGACGACGATGAGCGACGAGCCACGAGCCACGAGCGACGACGACGCCGACGCCGACGCCGACGCCGACGCCGACGCCGACGACGACGACGACGACGACGACGACGACGACGACGACGACGACGACTGCGGACCAGACTCCTATGCGGATTCCTGCGCGGACACCTACGCGGATCCCAGCGCGCACGGCGGCAGGGCCCGGAGCGCACAGGGGGCGGGGGGGGAGCGTTACGTCATACGGGGGGGGGAATCGGGGGCCATGACGCCCGTCATGCCCCGAGCAATAAATAAATGGTCTCATCCTGCACCCAAGCCCGGGTCAGTGCGACCCTGGCCTCTGCAATATCCTGCAAGATCTGGCGCTCTGGCTGACCCCTATTTGCATTGACCCCCGTCTCTTGAGCCCCGAGTGGGACTTCTTTTAAAAGGCACCCGGCCTTCTAAGAGGCTGTCTGTCCCTGGGGAAATTTAAAACACTTCTCAGAAGGCCCGGGGGGGCTTCCGAGCCTCCCGACAAGGCCCGTCCGTTCTCACTTCCCTCTTGGGCTCGCCGCCGACCTGAGGAAAAACGGATGAGAAGGAGGAGGAGGAGGAGGAGGAGGGGGAGGAGGAGGAGGACCAGTGTAAACCCAAGGGCATCATCGACGTTGGAATAAACCCTCCGTCCAAGCTCCCTCTTCAGAGGCCCCTACAACGGTTCATTTCCATTGAAAGACCTGCTTATTTGGAAGACAACCGATTGAAAACCCTGAAGCATACCAAAAACATTGTTCTCGGGATTCCCACGCCACGGATGAACTTGACTGTTGCGTCTTGACAATCCTGAACCGTGCCAGAACGCCATTCCTGGCACTCCAGCACAGCGAATCAACATAACCGTTGCACCCGCAAAATCCTGAATCCGTTTAAAACACCATTTCTGGCACGTTGATGATGGATATCCATGAAGTGCTTGCAAACATTTAAAACGAATGTGCGCCCCGCTGAGGCGAGAGCCACATTTTGAAAACCACCCGCCCTCATCAATCCGCGAAACTCTTACAATCTTTCTACAAGCCGTGAAACTCTTGCAAAATTTTGAAACGAATGTGCGCGTCGCTAAGGTGCGAGCCACATGTTGAAAACGACCCGCCCTCCATCTGTGAAACTGCTGCCACCTTTTGGAAAATTGCAGAATCATTAATGGTGAGGATGTCGCAGGCGAAACGCCCGGCCCGCCCTAAAAACTGGCATCGGGGTGCGAAAGGGAGAAGTTCACTGTGAGGAAAAGGAATGAAGGCAGACGAGGAGGAGGAGGAGGAGGAGGAGGAGGAGGAGGAGGGGGAGGAGGAGGGGGAGGAGGAGGAGGAGGAGGAGGAGCCGGAGGAGGATGAGGAGGAGGAGGCGGCGGAGCAGGAGGACGACAACGACGACAACCTCGACGACGACGAAGATCTCCGCCCGACTCGCGACGACGACCTCGACGGGAAGTCCTCTCGCAACTTGCGCTCCGTTGCCGCCCTCGCAGCGCCCGGGGACTCCGCGGGGTGGAGCCCCGCGGGGGTGGTGCTGTGGTCCTGCAGGGCCTCCTCGAACCTCCTACTCTCCTTCCTCCCCCTCCACCTCCTCCTCCTCCTCGGCTTCTGCCTCATCGGTTTTTGCCTCCTCCTGCGCTGTCTGCATTTCCTTCTGCTCCTCTTCTCTCTCTCTCTCTCTCTTCCTACTCCTCCGCCTCCGCCTCCTCCTCCGCCTCCTCCCTCCTTCTCCTCCTCCTCCTTCCTCCTCCTCATCATCATCATTCTCATCCTTGCCCCCTTCTCCTTCCTCTGTTTGACAGAGGGAAACAGCCAGGAAAGGCAGATCGAATCTCCTCGTCCTCCTGCGAGTCCTCCATCTCCTCCACCTCCTATTACTACTCCTCCCTGTCTTCTCCCTCTTTTCATCTTTCCACGCGAAAAATCCTCCTCCTCCTCCTCCTCCTCCTCCTCCTCCTCCATATCCTCCTCCTTCTCCTCCTCGTCCTGCGCCTCCTCCTCGTCCTGCTCCTGCTGAGGAAGGCTAAAATCTCCCACGGTATAATTCGTCCTGGCCATCCTCTGGTGTGGGGTCCTCGTTTTGAAGAGACAGCGCCCCGCGCCATCTTCGCCTGTCTTCTTCTCATCTCTTCCTTCCCCTCCTCCCTGCTCACACGGTCCGTGGCCCCATAGGGAGCTCCACCGAAGGCCCACGTGGCACGGTCCGCATGCGCCCGACGCCTAACTTGGCACACCCCTCACACAGCTCCGCCTGCAAATTCACTGGTACGGAGCTTGGGCTGCGTAGGAGGACGGAACGGAACGGAACGCCTGTGCGGGCATGCGCCCGGGCCCCTTGAGGGCGAGGCGGGTGAGGCCATGGCCTCGCATGAGAAGCTGCGCGCGTCGGGGGTCTACTCAGGACACTGCGTACTTCAAAAGCTGATTTCCGGACAGTCCCCACTCATCCGTTTTCTCAGCCCAGAAGTCAAGCATCTTACGGATCGGGCGATCGAGGCGTTCACACGGGCTTCGACGCAGGGGAGCGGAAACGGGGCGAGAGGAGGCGGCACGGCTGGCCACTCGGAAACACGTCGGCGCATCGGCGACCCGAGTGCGCCCCCGTTGGGAGACTGGGTGGCTTCCCCATGCTGGCCCATACGTTGCGGAAGAAACGCATCCTGGAATGTCGAAGGCATCTCCCGGAGCAGCCCGCAGAAGGCGTACGAGATTATCAAGCAGATGCGCGACTTGGACATCGCAGTATTGTGTCTTCAAGAGACATGTTGCTCCGGATCAGAAGTCTATGAATTCGAAGGCCATTTACTCATTTTATCTGGGGGTGAAGGTGACCACCGAGAGTACACTGGAGTGGGATTCATTGTATCGCCATGGGCCCGACCAGCACTCAGAGGCTACGTGCAATTAAACAGTCGAGTAGCTAGTTTATGGTTGCGGGTTACAGGAGGTATCTTAACATTGGTCTCAGTTTACTTTTGAACAAACTTGTACGCCTACGAGCTGCGGCACGACAATTTCGCCGATTTGCTTAAGATCTACACCAAGTGCCGTTCTCACGGTCCAACAATACTTCTTGGCGATCTTAACGCTCATCTCCTGGAACGTTTCGCCGGGGAGGAGGATAGCATGGAGGAGCATGTCTTTCGAAACAGTGCCAGTCATTGGGATGCCACGTCGAATCGGGAGTTGCTGGTAGAATTGAGCACTGCTGCGGACGCTTGCATCGCCAGCGCGTTTTTCGACGCCCCAATGGAAACAAACGTACCTTATTGTGATGTCGGCACGCGCCCAGTGGATTTCATTCGGCCCCAGAGTTTCGAGCAGCTCGACCACGTCGCCGTCGACCAAGAAGTGGTTGTCAAGCACACGGTGCGCTTGGGCCGACCCGTCCAGGGCGTTGCAGTCGCATCATTGTGTCTGCACTGTTGACATGGAGATGCATACCCCCACGGACAGGCGACCCCCGCGGCCGCCTCGATATGACTGGAGATCGTTGTAGGGAACCGAACCCTATGCACCGACGCTTGTTCCGGCCCTGCACCGAAATTCGCACAGGAACACGGATGCTGGTGTATACAGCTTGCTGGTGTATGCAGTGTGCGCTGTGTCCACGGGAGATCGTTACGAGATGCGGCAATAGCAGAGAAGTGCACCACAATATTCATTATACCAAAAGAGGGATAGGTGAAGTCGGAAGCACAGTGCAAGAGAAAGCGCTCAGCATGGCCGAATGCATGCTGGAAGCCACAGCAGAACACTTCCCACTGCTAGCAGCCAGGCCGCGCAAACCGTGGATATCATCAACAACGATGTCTTTGATATACCAGATAAATGCTGCAAGAGCTCATGGTGGCATTATCGCGCATCTTCTGAACGTCCCGATAAACAACGCTGGCTGGATAATGCGATCGAACACGGCAATTGGGAAGCGATTCGGTCCTTGCGAAAAGGCCTGGCTCCACAGCAAGGGCGTCTTCGCAATCTTGCAGGTGATCTCGCGGATTCTGAAGGAAGGCCGAAGAAATGGCGGACTATTTAAAAGGGATTCAAAAACATATACGATGGACCTAAACCTCCACCACACATACAACAAAACGTCGGCACATTAAGTATCAACACACGAAGCATCACTCTTGGGGAAGTGCGCCGGGCAATACAACACCTACAGACTGAAAAAGCAGCAGGCAACAACGGCGTGCCCCCCGATTTATGGCAAGTCCTCTGGTCAAGCGAAGAAGCTTTAGACATACTTCGGGATATATGCGACGACTGCTGGAAGATGAAGGCGATACCAGCGGAATGGAGGGAAGCACCTATTGTTACGATTTGCCAAAAAAGGTGACACATCGCAGCCTGGGAATTACAGACCAATACCTCTTCTTACAGTTGGGTATAAGGTGCTGACAAGCATCGTCTCATATAGGTTTAAGCATTGAGGAATGGAGAGCCGGTTGCGGGAATCGCAATACGGATTTCGACCCAGCCGTGTTACAACAGATGCGTTATTTTTGGTACGCCGTCTCATTGACGCCACGTTGGAAGAGGAAGACAAGAGCGGGAAATTGTCGATCTCATTATTGGACTGGAGCAGAGCATTCGACCGTATCAAACCAGACGGTCTGCGTCATGCTTGACGAGAATTTGGAGTACCGCAGGATATGCTGGACATGGTGAAGGCAGTCTACACAGCACGTACATTCGTGGTAAATGACGGACCCAACATAGCTACGCAACTGCACCAACGAGCTGGCATCGCACAGGGCTGCCCTTTTTCACTATACTTGTTCGTTATCGTCATGTCGGTCCTTGTTGAAACAGTAGACAATGCAGTACGGCAACATGCGGATACAACGGCAAAAAAAGACTACATCATCACAGACGACGTCCTTTACGCCGACGACGCAATGCTGCTCGCCGAAGACCCCAGCGCTCTCCAGAGACATTTGAACGTGGTGGCGGCCTTCGGCAAGGCATTCGGATTGCAGCTCAACGAAGAAAAAACAGTTCTATTGAATATCAACTCGGATGCAGAAAAACGTGGGCCTGGCGGAGATGCGATTCAAGCTCAAGATCGTGCTGTTGACTTGGGCGGCCTTATCAGCACCGACGGGAAGACGCAGACGGAACTTACAAGGCCACTTGGCGAAACGCAGGGTGCGTTTCAGAAGCTCTGCAAAATTTGGAGCCATGAAAACATATGCCGGAAACAGAAAATACGAATATAGAGTCGTGCATTTTCTCTAAGCTCTTGTATGGACTGGAGTCGTGCGTTTTCTATCACGAGATCGAGACTGGCTGACCAGTTTCCAAGCCAGGTGCCTCCGGAACATTTTCAACATACCTTCATCTTTCATCTCGCGCGTGAGCAATTCTGAAGTAATGACTGTAGCGGCAGCTGAAATACTATGGTAAGCTTGCTAGGGCTCCTCCGGGGGCGCTCCCGAGGAACATGGTTTTTTGAAGAGGGGGGCCTGCGTGGCCTTTCACCTCTGAAGTGGGACGTGTTTCGCAGTAGAGGACGCCCCAGACTACAGTGGGGGAGTTGCATACATGCACGCGCCCTGAACGCAGCACAAGATAGCCCAGAATATGTAGGTTCGCTGCTGCTTTGGACGCCCGAAATGGGTACCGAAAAAAATTGTACAATGCCCAACAGCAAATGTTGTCCCAAACCAACAGCGACCGCTGTTGGGCAGGCGGCCCTCTGTCTCAAATGGACACAGGCCGCGGCGGCGTGGACAGCGAACCCTTTTCATAATGAAAAGGAACTGCTGTTGGGCATTGTACCCATTCTTTCCCTACCCATTTCGGGCGTCCAGAGCTGCAGTCATCGGCTGCGGAATGGAATGCTGAAGCCGCGCAGCTCTGCAAATTATCATGACGTGTCCCTCGGCTCCCCTGCTCCCCTGCTTGCCTCCTTCCCTCCTTTCTGCATGACACAGTGCTGGTGCAACTCACACCGCCGCTCACTACTGCTATATGCTATATGCAGCTGGTGCGTCCCGGCGCACGTGCACTCCGCCTGGGCATGTCTTCTGCATGAGTTTTGCCTGGCCGTCTATGCTATAATATGTTCTGCCAATGCGCCGTCTAGGTACGGCTTCTTCCGTCCGTCTCACACAGCTCTGGGCCCACAGGGAGCTCCACCGAAAACCCCAGTGGCAAGGTGCGCATGCGCCCGACGCTTATTTTGGCGCACCCCCCACACGGTTCGTGGCCCCATAAGGAGTGCTTCCGAAGGCCCCAATGGCAGTATCCGCATGCGCCCGACGCCCATTTTAGCACACCCTTACATGGCGCGTGGCCCCATAGGAAGCTCCACCGAAGGCCCCTGTGGCAAGATCCGCATGCGCCCCACGCCCAATTTGGCACACCCCTCAGACGGTGCGTGGCACAACAGGGAGCTCCACCGAAAGCCCCAATGGCAGGTTCCGCATGCGCCCGACACATGTTTTGGCTCATCCCTCACACCGTGCGTGGCCCCGTAGGGAGCTCCTCGGAAGGTGGAGACACAACGGCCGCGCACGGGGCTCCGGCCAGGCCAAGAGAACTCACCGCTCGCCCGCGTCAGCTTTTTCTCCCCCTCATCCACGCCGCAGACCGTTCGATGGCCCCCCATCCATCGCCTCACCTGCTTCGCGATACTCTCGGGGAGACGCAAGATTTGTGAACGTGGGACTCGGGTTGGCCAGACGGGGCCGTCATGAAAATGGCGAAACCCCATCTGAAATTCCTAAGAAACTTGGACCGCCAAAATCCAGGGCGGGCTCGTCATAAAGCGAAGGCGAACCCGAGTTGTGGCGTACTCGAGTCTTACGTCTCCCTGCAGATGGTTGGGCCCTTCGCCAGGCTTCTGTCGACTGGCGTTTGAAACGCGGCGTTTGTGCCTCGGCCTGGATTCTCTTGCGCCGTTTTATGGTGCCATCGGGCGGAAATGGACCCAGACCTTCGACGATAGGAGCTGATCAACCGGCGGTGTTTACCCGCCTTGGGTGATGCTGCGACAATCGCACTTAAAGACCACATCCCAGAAATAGTTTCGAGCACCCAGAAAAACATCGAAACGGTGCCGAACGAGTATCGGCCCCCAGGACCCGACACGTGAAAACCCTCCAGCTTCGGTACTTTCTTGGTGCTCGACACTCGTTCTGGCGATCAAGGCGCTAAAGTAGGTTGGAACATCATAAGGCTTGGGTTGAGGCGGCGGTGAACGGGGCCCGGCACCGTCAAAACCGGATGGGAGGCGAAAGACTGCCCCCCAGGAGGCGATCGGAACCTCTGGGGCCGCGAGCTTAAACAAAAAAACAGATCGTCGGATGTAAGGGGTGATGCGACGGGGATAGGCTGCGCTTTTCAATGGGGCCCAGGTCACTCTTTCCAGTGAGGTAGGGGGGCCCCTGTTTGCCAGGTGAGCTCGCATAGCTCTTGTGATAGCTCTTGTGTAACGTTCGGCAGGAGGCTGGGTCAACACACGCACACACACACACACACACACTTGGTGGCGTCGCGGCCACAGGCGCAACATCGCGGCGGAGTCCGGCAAATAGCCGAAAGCGAAATTGGGGCACACCCACACACAGGCACTGACACACACACACACACAAACGACACACACACACACACGCACGCACACACACACACACACACATGCACGCACGCGCGCACGCACGCACGCACGCACGCACGCACGCACGCACACACACACACACACACACACACACACACACACACACGCACACACACACACACACACACACACACACACACACACGCACACGCACACGCACACGCACACGCACACACACACACACACACACACACACACACACACACACACACACACACACACACACACGCACGCACACACATTCACAAGCCAACAATATCCTCCGCCTGCTCCTCCACCGCCACCTGTGCTGGTCCTGGAGCACCACGACGTCGGGGCGAAACGCACCGACGGCCGCGCACGCGTCGTCGCAGGTGTCGGTGAGGCCCATACCGCCCTCCACGATGGACATGATCCGAAACTTCGCGGCCTTCCGCGCAGCCCCTGCATCGTCTGTGGCTGGCTGCAGGTGCATCAGAGCATGGCTCAGGTCATTGAAGCGGGGGAGGACAAAAACATTCCCAGCAAAACAGGGTCCCGAGAGAGTCCCAAAGACTTCCCAAACGGCCCCCCGAGTCTCCCCAAGGTCTCACATTCACCCTTGCTGGCCTCATATTTCACTATCTCTGACTGTACCTACGTCCCTCTTCCAGGCAACTCCCCTGGGCATCATTTTTGGATGGGCTGGTGGGAATAGTTTTTCGGTCGCGGCCGCAAGCGAAGAGGCAGGCGGCGGGCAGGGAGTCCGGGCCAACGGGCAAGCCGAATTAGCTACAGAAGGCGCACTAGCCGGCCGGCCCACTCACAAAGCAGCCGCGAAGCTGAGGGGGGACTGACGGCGAGGGGCATCCTGGGAAGCTCGAGCACATGCACAAGGCAAAATGTCGAGGAAATTCGATGCCTACCATGAGGCACGGCCCACACAGTAACAAGACGTGTACCTCAGCAACCGAATCCGTCGTTCTGAGTGGGGGCAGGCGCGAGGCCCGTGGAACGAGTCGCCGGTGGGGCGCCAGGCTCCACACGCCCTAGACGACATGTGCTAGCCAGGGGGGCTGAGCTGTCGCGGAACGTGGTGCAACGCAACCTGCTGATAGCTGATGGCGAGCCTGGGGTGCTGCAGCTGCTGCGGAAGGCTGAACCACTCCGTGGCGATATCAACACCCGCCAATCCACCCAACAGTGCAGGGGGGAAGCCGAAAGACTGCGAGCCACGCAGTGCGTAGCGGCACGGCGTCAAGCCCAGGGTGAGGGGAGAAAACCAGCCGGCGTGGTGAGCATCGCCAGCGAGGTAAAGGAATATGGGGGGGGGCTGCGCTGTTGGTAGTGCTGCCGCCTGAACTACGCCAGACTGAACCAGAGACAAGCATATCCTCAAGTATACAGAGCTGGCTGTACCTCCCGGGGCACGTGTTGCGCATGTACAAGCAAGTTTGTAACGTTGCCATTGGGTGAGGCGACCTGGGGGAAGCTGTGCTGGGGCAGACACGAGAGCCGACGGTCGCCATGGCCCGACCCTGCCCGCAGTTTTCGCACTTCCTCGCAAGACTCGGGGTCGTCCACCAACACGCACCACGTGGGCCTCCAGGGTCGCAGCTAACCGCCGCTGAAAGTGGGGAGCCTTACCACGGACAGCGAGGGACAAGGGGGGCCCTGGGGAGGGGGGACAACACCACCGGCGTCTGTTGGTACGCCTGGCGAGCCCCAGGGCCAAAGGCGGGGTACACGTACACCCGCCTGGCCCGAGAAGGGAGAGGCGAGGGGAAGCAACGCACCGCCCCTCGACCGGGCCCCGCACCCGTGGGTCAGGGGACATGGTCATTCTCTTGGGTCCTCCAGGGTCGCAGCCAACCGCCGCTCAAGAGCAAATAGTATCGATGGAAGGGTCCTTCGAAATTTGTTGATGCCGTGGGATGGTGGGGTCCAGAGTGGACCTCATGCCGTGCTGAATGCTGGTCTGCCAACGCGGAGACTGGCGCCTCTACGGGGATGGTGGGTGTTGGTCCTCCAGAGTCGCAGCTAACCGCCGCACAAGTCTGTACTTGCCAAAACTGTGACCTGGCTAGGTCGAGCTCGCCGCCGGGCAGGCGGGGGGGGATGCAGTGGCCCACCACTGGCCCTTGGCGCGCGGGCCGGCTGTCGTCGTCGGACAGCAAAGTCTATGAGCCCGGGGGGGCCTGTCTGCGCGAGACATGCTGGCCCCGCCGTGCCAGAGAGGGTAAGATGTCGGGTGCAGGTGGGCAAGCCCCTCCGCGTCAGGCCAGAAAAGGAAGATGGTGGTCCACTTATCCAGTGTGGGCTGTCTAGCTAGGCCGCGCCGTGGGTGAGATGTGGGGTTAGCCTTCGCCCCAGCGGAGGGCGGCCCCGGGCATTACAGCCTGAGCCGGGCGCAGCGAGGTGAAACTAGCCCCTTCAAGGCAAAGAGTGTCTCTAGGAGGGGGGAGCGGGTTTCCTTGGGCAGGTCGTTACCAAGGATGTTGAGGTGGGCCGTGTCGGGAACACGTCAGCCTTGGGTGTTGGCGTCACTATTAGCCCACCAGCGGGCGCGCTTGTCCGAGTAGCGGTCGTCCCCTCTAGGGGAGTATCGTTTGCCCTTGCCTTTCCAATCTGAGTCCGTCCATGGGGCTTCTCGCCGATCCCGCGAGGTCCATTATTGCCAGCCCTGCAAATGGCTGGGGGTGGCAGTACCGATGGCTCCAGCCCAGGGGTCCTGTGCAGCCGCGGGCGCGACAGCTCGGCTCTCGGTTGCCCATGGGGCAGGCTTGTCGCGGCTGCCGTAGTCGCGCGGGGCGTGTGCGTGGGCGTCATGCCGCACGGAGTTCATGTGCTTGTCCCTAACTGCAGCCCAGTTTACGCCGAGCCCGAGATCACGGTCCATCCGATCTGCATCATGGCCGGCGTTGTTCCATGCCTCGAGGAAACCCGCGCACGTCTGGGGTGTGTTCACCTTGGGGTCGCTCTTGTAGCCTCCCTTGGGGTCCTGACTCAGGGCAGCCCGTCTAGAAGCGTCAAGAATTGACATATCCTCCTTCCCGATCATCCCCCTCCGAACCTCTGGATGGGAGGCCGCAAGCGCGGAGTGGGAGGAATGACACGGGCATGAGCAAATAGATCGCTTGATACATTGCGAGAGGGGCAAGTAATCGGATCCGTGCTCACTAAACAATGCTTGCAGCTGGGCGTTCTTACGTGTTTGTCCAAGGGAACCATTCGGGTTGGTCTGGCGGCTATGTTATCGCCGTCGCCGCCCCGTCTCCGCGTCGTCGCCGTCCGTCGTCTGGTCCTGCGAGTCGAGCTGGCGGCTTTTGTCGCCGTCGCCGCCCCGTCGCCGCCTCGTCGCCGCCCGTCGTCTGAACATACGGGCTAGTCTGGCGGCTATGTTGTCCCCGTGGTCACCCCGTCGCCGCCTCGTCGCCGCCCGTCAGCTGGACCTGCATTGCTTCGCAATGCTTTACTTGGCCATGCAATTCTTTGCATTGCAGGGCATTGCTTTGCATTGCTTTGTATTGATTTGCGTTGCATGTCCGAGCCGTGGTTTGCAACATACAGCGCACCACCTAGAATAGACCACACAGACTGCACAACCTTGATTGCACACTTTAGCTTTGCACCACATAATTTGCACCGCATGGATAGCACCACGTTGATTCGTCTCCAAACGAAAATTTGGATCTACCCCCCGCCCTCCGGTTGTCGGGCCACCGTGTGGGTGTACTATGAAAGTATGATTATGCCACATCGCCTATCTTCAATATGAATTCACACCATTTCAGCCAGTGGTACCCCCCCCTCATCCATTGCATTAGTACTATGCGCGCACACTCGTTCATCACAAATCATGCATGTGTGAAGGTCCTATGAAAAAACATAACGCTATCCACACGCGCGCGCGTCGTCGCGCGCGCGCATGCCGACATCAATCAAACACCGTAGGTACCGTGATGAATTCAATCCCGAAAACATGTCGCGCGCACCGTGCCTTCAGCATGCAGTGGAGTGCCCCAAAGCTCCTACAGCCCTGAGAAAATCCAGGGTTCAAAGGTTCTTCAAGGGCCCGGGCCCCCAATTCTCGGGGATCTGCTGACCCGGGTCAATCCAGACCCGGGTCACTAAGGCCTTGCAGAATCCCGCAAATCCCGCAAGATCCTGCACCTACACCCGGGTCAGTGCGCAGGATCCTGAAAAGTCCTGCCAGATCCTGCACCCCAACCCGGGTCAATGCGACCCTGGCCCTGCAGGATCCTGCAAGATCGGGCGCTCTGGCTGACCCCCGCTTGCGTTGACCCGCGTCTCTCGAGGTCTGTAATTCTCGGCCTCCCCCTCCTCCTCCTCCTCCTCCTCCTCCTCCTCCTCCTCCTCCTCCTCCTCCTCCTCCTCCTCCTCCTCCTCCTCAGGGCACCCGCAGCTTCCCAGGCCGGGCGCCGCCGGGCCCGCTGTTGGGCGCTCTCGGGCGTCCCCGGGGGCGTGTCACGTGCGCGCCTCTGGGCCGGTGGCCCCGCCCAACGGGGCCCCCCCCCCCCCAGACGGGCTCGGAAGGCCTCCCCCGAAGACCAGGCCCGGGAGGGCCCCGAAGGCCTCCGGGACGGCCGAGGAGCTCTCCAAGATGCCCCCACGCGCCCCAGTGGAGCTCCACGAGGAGCCTCCACGAGAGCCCCAAGGAGCAGCAATCCCCGATGTTCCCCAGGTGCTTGAAGGATGTCAGCGTTCGCGCTCTTCGGTTTCCCGTCGCTCCAAGGCGGCCCACGAGGCCCCGAAGATCGCCCCAGGTCGAAGCTAAGCGGGCCGCGCACAGCTTTAAGTAACAAAGGGGGGGGCAGAAGAAGGGGCCTCACGTCAGGGCCAGGAGGGGGCAAAGCCCCGGAATCAGGCGGTGCCGAAGACAATGTGCTTGCAAAGGAACGCCTTGTACAGGAACCCGCACAGCATCCTACCAACACTGGACCGTCAAAGCCCCAGACGGGCCCGCCGAACAGCGTCGGCATACCCGGGCTCCAGCGAACTGGAGCTCACGTTCGCCCGTTTAGTAGGAAACGCGTACGACCGAGGAGACGTATACGCCTCGGAGTCCAGGCACTGGGCTCAGGCCTCCTCCTCGTCCTCCTCGTCCTCCTCCTCCTCCTCCGCCTCCGCCTCCGCCTTCTCCTCCTCCTCCTCCTCCTCCTCCTCCTCCTCCTCCTCCTCCTCCTCCTCCTCCTCCTCCTCCTCCTCCTCCTCCTCCTCCCCCCCCTCCCTGGAGTCTCACGCTACGCCTCATGTTTACGCCCTCCCCAGAAGTAGGTGTAGGAATTCCCCACCAGCAGGAGCCGTACGGCCGGCATGACGGCGGCCCCGGCGCCGCCCTGGCACTGCCGCGGGGGGCGGCGACGTCGAGAGCCTACGAGGGCGGCAGCAGGCCAATGGCTGCAGCCAAAGCCCTCGTCGACAGGAGCTTGCGGCTCCGAGCGCGGCGCCGAGGGGGGGGAGGGGGGGCGCGGCCGGCTCCCGG